GATTAAAATTTGTCTACCAAACTAAAGTGTAATCCAGGTGTTGCTTGCTTGGTCTGCCCTCTTGTTCAAGGATTACTGAACTAGAAACATGTCAGTTTCCGCCCTTGTTATTTCTCATAAATTCCTGCCACAGGACTGGAGTTAAGCAAGCTCCAGAATGAGGTAGGTGAGCATGTCCTCACCACCTGGAGGCAGCATAGAAGTATGCCTCCCACAGGGATTTGACTACTCAACTGTTAGAAGCATCTTCTGAAGCTATCCTGCAGTACTGATTATACCACTCAAAGGCTCCAAGTTCAAGGGAGCAGAACGCCTTCCTGGACCCTGCAGCTACTAATGTGGAGGGACCCAGTATTGCCATACCTACTGATCCACTATGCCCATTCCTGGTTCAAAGATCATGTTGGTTAACTCTATAAAATGTTTTGAGGTCTACCTTGTCCTAAGAATTTCCCATGGTTTTTTCCTTCCTCTTTAATTGCTGTTTGGTTTCTGTCCAAGCTTCTTAAGAGAGCAGCCTTGACTCTGTTATTAGGCAGTCAGTTGGTGACGGTCTAGTTTTTACCTTTGTGAGTCTCATGAAACTTCCTTGCCCATAGAAGAGTCAGCAAACCAGATGGTTGTGTTTGATTTCCTTCCTACTTGATTTGTTCTGTGGCCACTCTCTAATTCTGGACACCCCCTTTCCTTCCCTAACTTCTAAGGTTCCGTCCCTTGCTTTTCTCTTCCTTGCATCTCAGGCCATCTTTCTCAGGTTTCCTTTGCAAGCACTTTCTCTTCCTTCGCCCACCTGAAACGCTGCCCTTCCCTAGGGCTCTGGTTTGTTGTTGAACATGCTCTCTGTGAGTGAGGGCACCTGCTTGCAAGTTTCAACAATCGTATATGTGCCTGTGGCCTCAAATTGCCATATCTTGAGCAGTAGCACCTGCAAACATGCCCTGGGTTCCTGCTGCCAGCGTCTGCATCAGCAGAGGCATCACTGGCCTGGGCTGCTGGTTTCTCCCACACATGTCTCCCCACCCCAGCTGGAGTGAGCAGAGGTGAAACAGTCATCCACATGGGGCCCTCCTCTTTCCCTCCACCACACGGTCTCTCTCAAAAGCGAATCTAAATTAATAATCTAGAGTTTAATTATCTAAAGCCAGATGGCATGGCATTTTAATTTAAACCAAATAACTCAAATATTTACTTTGCTTTGAGAACATAAAATGCCAATTACTGCCGCATATTTGCATTTATGTAATACAACTATACCATCAACACTATTTTATTGTTTCAGAAGTTAGGGAAATATAAGGAAGGTACTTTTTAACAAATAAAGGGAGACTTTGTAGTTCTGCCTTTTTGATTTTTCAAATAGTCTTGTACCATCATTATACCTCTTATATGCTTCTATTATAGCTCTTTTCAAAGTGTAATGCAACTTTTTTTTTTTTAATTGGTATCTTGGTCTCGGCTTCTGTAACAAAAGTACCATAGACCGGGTGGATTAAACAACAAACAGTTATTTCTCACAGTTCTGGAGGCTGGGAAATCCAAGGTCAGGGCACAAGCAGATGCGGCGTCTGGTGGCCTTCTTCTGTGGCTGCTTTCTCTGTGTGTCTTCTCATGGTAGAAAGGCAAGGGCGCTCCCTGGGTTCTCTTCTATAAGGACGCCTATCCCATTCCTAAGGACACCATCCTTATGATCTGATTGCCCCCCAAAGGCCCCACTTCCAAATATTATCATACTGGGAGTAGGTTTTGACATATGAGTTTTGAGGTGGACACAAACATTCTGTCTATAGCAATGGGTAAAAGATAGAGCTAATAGCACCCACCTCATAGGGCCGGTGCATGAAATGAGTTGCCTATAACAGAGTAGAGCCTGGCACACAGTCAGAGCTATCTATGTATTTGCATCTGTTATCATTACTGTTCTTTGTCACTCCCACTTGCTTTCATGAAGGCTCCTTAAGAGCACAGAGAAAATAGTTTTTATCATTTTATGTGTGACACCAAGTTATAGTCTTTGAGACATAATAAAGGCTCAGCAAATGTTTTAAGGAATGATGAATTGTGCTTAAACACTGTTTGTCCATGTTGTCCTAGAAAGCATATCTGTTGATAAAGGGAATCAATCCTGTAATCCTGTAATTGTTGACCTCAAGGTCTGTCTTTTCTGTTTTATTGTCTGTTTATTACAATGGTAAAATGCCAGGTGATTTTCAGTATTGGGACTGAAAAATATATTTGTGACCGTTACAACAGAGGCATGCCTTACCAGCATAGATACATTTCTTAGATGTTATAAAAATTTATGTTTTCAAGTCAAATTATGTTTAATCTTTTATTTTTCCAGTTTTAATACTTATTTACTTTGTAAGAAAACTTGATTTTTTTCCAAAATTTTATTTTAAATGCAGCAGCAGAGTTAGATATTTCAAAGAAATCTGGTTGTAGAGTGAATCTTTTGTAGGCTGAAGAATCCATTGTAAAGTGAGTATTGACACTTAAATATATGTTTCAGGAATTCAAACTTTTTATTTTATTTTCTTATAGTAAGAACAGGTGCAGTTTTCCTACATAGTCCTTGGTAGGCAGGAGGCTTTGGAATGTAAGACATAAAACTATCCTCTTGCCTCATCCTTGCTGAGATGTTTGTAAAATATGGTAGGGTTGGAAAGTACCTTCAGTTCCTGTCTGACCTAGATTTCTTTGAAGTGTGTGTGTGTGTGTGTGTGTGTGTGTGTGTGTACTTAATTAGAAAACCAATTTGTGTCCTCTTAAATATTTTATTATTGATAAATATTGACATTTGTATAATTCACTGTGAAAGAAGGCACAAATATTAATTTGGGAAGCTTACCGAAGTAAGCTTATATTAGTCAGTTGAAATCTGTAACTTTCTTATTGTTTTTTTCAGATTTGGATCTAAGACCCAAATCTCATTGTTTACCCCATCAACCTTATCCAAGCTACTGAATATAGTCCAATATTATCTAATGTTTACCTTTTTGGGTAGGCAGTTTTGCAAACATATTCTTTTGGTTTTGTGAGTGATGTATCTTAGTAAGTCTACTTTCTTTCTCCATATGATTGATTATAAAAGGTTACTGTTTAACCAAATGTCTATAATCCAAATAAATGGATGTAGCACAATATATTTGTCTAGGCTTACTTAGTGGTCAAGGATACAGAAACAGTGAACATAGAAACCAGTTTTCTTTTACTGTTCATAAAGAATTGCCTTTAGCCTTTTGGTGATTAGAGCATACCTTTATTTTGGAATTTTTAAATAGTGTTTTAAGTATATTAATTAGTTAAGGAGGGATATTGGGTCATTAGAGACTGCTTTCTTTAAATAAGAAAAAAGTTTAAGTATCATAGAGAGTTATATATTAGATTCTTTATTCAAATTGTTATGAATAGATAGTTTTGCCCGAGATACAATTTGGTATATGGAATCATAATACTCAGTAGCTCTGAGATTTTATTTCTGGATTATGCAGATATTACATTTATTATAGTTAAGATGAATGCAATTCAGACATTTATAAAGTGTCACTAAAGTTTCATTTATAACTTCTTATGACTGAAAAGAAACATCTCATTTTAAACATAGAAATTGTACAGCTAAGTTTTGATTTTCATGAAAATTGGAAATGGTAGTAGCATAAGTAATTAAAGTAGAGGCTTCCGTGTCCATCATGGTGTTATTCCAGTTAATCTAACAAATACTCAGAAGTTCTTACGGTAGAATGCAGACTGTATTTGGTACCTAGTCCTGCCGTTGAAGTGTGTGCCATGTGGCGGTGGAGGAGAAAGCTTTTCTAATGGATAGTCTTGGCCCAGTAAAGAGAACTGCTTTCCTTCCCAGCCTGTGGAGGTACCTGTGCAGTGCTAGAGAGCCCGGAGGGTGGAGATGGAGACTAGAAGCTGGCCTGGTGGTGGGATGGGGGTGAGGGTTGTGTGTGGGCTAAAGAAAGCTCATGTGAAGAAGTGATGCATAGGTTTTACGATGCATTGCACAGATGTTCCCCACTTCCCTGCAAACCTTGGGTGTCTTCAAACCTGCCCCAGTGTTCTATGGGTTTAGAGGCACATCAGGAAGAGAAGGAAATGGAGGAGATCATGGAGCAGTGGGAGGATGCTGGGCCCCTTCCCTGGTCTCCAAGCCTTTTCTGAGGATCCTATAGAGAATGTAGACAAGAAGTTGACAACTGGTGATCGAAGTTGGGCCACAGGTGTGTTTCATTTGGTTTCATTTTATTTAAAAACTTAACTTAAAATAGTCAACATGAGGTATAGAGAGATTCACATAAAAACCCATTCAGCAGGTCAGCCACATTCAGTTAGCCTTTCCTGCAGGGTGACTCTTTAGCTGGAGCTGAGGAACCACCAGCCTTTACTTATGTCTCTCACCTGGCCTGTGTAGCTGTTTGGGTTTGCAGCCCCTGCCGGAGACCGTGGTGGACTCGTTTGTGGTATACCTCGAGGATCTGATGATCCTCTGTTCTTCACTCCTGCCTCCTTCCATTTCCCACTTGAAATATCAGCATTGACAACAGTAGCGACCTATAAAAACAGAAAAAAGGAAGTGTGTTCATTATGACCCTGATATTTATAATTTTTTTTCATTCTTTAAAATATGTTTACCATGTTCATGGAAAGTGCTGATATTTCCTTTTATCTTCTCTCCCTTTATTTATTGTGAGGATAAGCAATGTTTGTTTTCATTGCAGGATAGCTGGGAGACAAAATTATTTTAAGCAAAGTACCTCCACTTTAAGGTTTTTTAAACTTTTCAAACAGTCTAGGTAATAAAGCTTTTTCTAAAGAGGATTGAAGTATCATTTTGAGAATCAGATGCATGTTTTTATTTTAAGTTGTTTAACGTTACCTTCATGAACGTCCCATAGTACTAACAGAATGAAAAGCAGTTTTATTTGTAAGGGTTTCCTAAATTGTATAAGAATTATAAAATATTTTTCTTCTCTTTTCTCACAAATTTCTACCAGCGAGTTGAAAATGGTGACTTCAACTGGATTGTTCCAGGAAAATTTTTAGCATTTAGTGGACCACATCCAAAAAGCAAAATTGAAAATGGTAGGTTTGTTCTTTACTTTGCCATCCGAAAATTTATTTCAGTTCATCTTCAATTTCTTAATTTCCTCAGATAATCCTTTCTTTTGGTACTATTCCCCAAAGAATATTTATTTATTAAAAAAATTGAGCTGTAGTAATTAGTGTGTTAAATATTACAGTTTAGTAGGTGGATTTATAATCCTGTTTTAAAACTAGAAAATTTGGGGGGCACCTGGGTGATTCAGTTGGTTAAGTGTCTGCCTTCGGCTCAGGTCATGATCCCAGAATCCTGGGATCGTGTCCCGCATTGGGCTCCCTGCTTCTGCCTCTGCCTCTGCCTCTCCCTCTCACTGTCTCTCATGAGTAAAATTAAACAAACACACACATACCTAAAAATAAATAAATAAATAAAACTAGAAAATTTTTAAATTGCCATAAAAAGGCACTTTACCTGACCCAGTTATCAAAGAACAATCTGAGAAGCAAGCTGGTCAAACTAGTAAATAGATTGTTGAATTCTCTCAGTGGTTCTGAGATTTATTTGGTGGTAGAATGCTACATTAAGGTATTCTTTGGGGAACATCATGTAGAACAATAACAAGGGTGATGATAATAGGTGTCATTTATTGAGCAGTTGCTATGCGCTAGTTGCTATCTAAGCAACACATTGTCTCATTTAATACACACCTCTATGAGATACAGGTACACGTATCTCCATTTTGCAGAGGGAGAAACTGAGGCTTATGAGTAAGGAATTTGCCCAGAGTAATAAGGGGAACTGGTTCTCCATCCCAGAGCTGGGCACCTAAACATTGCCAGTACACTGATCTGTTTATTTCCATTATGATAATGAGAACAACTTTCTAGCTCCCAGTAATTAAATTACTCATTGCTATATATATAGCTAGGGGCATACGTACTCAGGAAGACAAAAACAAAACAGTGAAACAAAATCAGCTATGTAAGTTTTCCCATTAATATTTTCTATTTTTTTTCATCTACCAACATTCCTAGAAGACAAGTAATGATAGGCACCAAAGGTTTAAGAACAATTTATGGGAGGAGTACATAAAATTTAAAAATTTCACCTGTGAACATAATAGCCTCCCCCCTTTTTTGTTGTTCTTTATGTGGTCATAGATCTGGGACATTAGTCTTTTAGGGAACATAATCTGAAACCCCAAGTTTAGATTTATTCTCCTTTTATCACCATTATCTTCCTAAGGATTAATTCTAAAATCTAGTTCCATTGTATATTGTGAATCATGCATCCAGATTTGCTGATTTATTTGAGCTCCCACAGATATGCTGCTTATTTCATGCCTACGACGTATCTTCCAGAGAACTCTGTTTGAATCATGGATTCCCTGTGATGGGTGATGCAAGTCTAGAGAGTTAAGCTACCAAATAGGAGCCCTGTGTACTGAAGCCAGAATTACATCTTCTCATTCATGAGTCTGCTAATGAATCTATTTTATTCCAGACATTGATTAACCTTTGTCACGTTGGGTTGTCATGAGTAACATGTTAAGTGCCTAAGGAAACTGCTTTCTGGCACTTGGTCTTTAAAGACAGAATTGATTTGATTTACCTTTGGCCTTCTGTGCAAAATGATCTGACTCAGACCCAGAAAATCTTAGAAGGTGTTTAGTTTCAGTCGTGGCTTTGTTGGTGGGCGTTCGTTTCATGAAGTTGAAAGAATTTTGCCATTTAGGATTCCTGTGATTTATGACATTTTCTTCAAGAGAAGATGAGAAGTGTAACTTATAGAATCATTTAAAATCTTTTTAGAGAGCTAATACATGCTTATATTAAAAAAATCAAATGCAGATGAATTAATAAAAACCACATAAGGGTGACCTATAATTCTACTCAAGTTTTCTAGGGCTAAGAGTTGGTGGTGGGATTATGGGGGTTTTAATTTTCTTTTCACCTGCTTCTCTGTATTTGCGTGCACACATTTTTTTCCTCTTCCAGTGAACACATACCCACACATACACACTTAAAAAAATAAACCTTTCTTTATTTATAAGCATAGCATTGTGATTACTTTTTTAAGAAAGATTTTGTTTTAGAGAGAGAGAGAGAGAGGGTGAAAGAGGGGAGGGGCAGATGGAGAGGGAGAGAGAGAATCTCAGGCAGGCTCCCTGCTGTACACGCAGCCCCACTCGGGGCTCGATCTTAATACCCTGAGATCATGACCTGAGCCAAAATCAAGAGTTAGCCGCTTAACCCGCAGAGCCACCCAGGCGCCCAAGGATTACTATCTTATATCAGCTTTTTTCACTTAACATATCACAGACTTCTTTCCATGGTAGTAAATGTTGATTTTCATTATACTTTTCTATGACTGCTTTGTATATTATTCAGTAATGTGCCATAATGCTGTTACTTTTTGAATGAGATCTACACTATTTACAGTTTTTCACTTTTCATGGTTGGCAAATGTTCATACATTTCTTTGTATTTCTCCTTTTCTCTCTAAATTCTTAAGTAGTCAGATCAGTAGATAAAAGGCTGTGAATATTTTGTGTGACAGTTCTTTTTTTTTTTTTTTTTGGAAGAGCAGTTGACCTACAGTATTGTATTAGTTTTCGGTGTACAATATAGTGATCGGATATTTTTCTCCATTAGGACATGGTCCCCACATTCAGTCTAGTTATCATCTGTCAAAATGCACAGTTGTTACATTATTAGTGACTATATTCCTCTGGCTGTATATTACATCTGTGTGTCTTGTTTTTTTATAACTGGAAGATTGTACCTTTTAATTGTCAAAAACCTTTAAAAATTCCTTTTGGTTGCATATTATAATGTTGGGAAATAATTATAGCTACATTTGCTTATATGTCAGGAATGGGACTGATAAGACTTTTGCGCACATATCATCTTTTTAAGAATCAGAACCACCCTCTAGGGGAGGTAGGAGTTATTTTTTGGAAGAGAAGGTAGAGACTCAGAGAAGTTACTTCGCTTTCCCAGATTTACACAACCAGAAAGTGGCAGCATGTGGATTCAAACACAGGTCTCTTTGATTCCAAATTTGGTGTTCTTTTTCATCTTACTGCAGAGGAAGTATATGTTCACTATAGAAAATTTAAGCAATATGGAGAAAAAGTCACCTGTAATTATTTAATCTAGAAATAAACACCTAAGATGCTGCTCTATGGGCATCTTTTTTTCCCACCTATGCATCTATTGTGCCCTCTTACGTTGAGGGAAAAAGGTCTGAAATAATTTTGTGATAGAATTAATAGAATTGATCCAATTACAGTGAAATCTCGATGCTTGTTTTTTGTTTTTGTTGTTATTTCTTTCTTTCTTTTTTTTTTTTTAATTGAGAAACTGTTTCTTGAACGTCACGTTAGGGGTTTGTTAATAGAAAAGGTAGATTTTACAGAAATTAACACTCAAATAGCTGTTGCTAGGATGTAGCCAAAGAAGCCTTAAAATCCTAGGATGGGGCAGAATGTGTTGTAAGAGTCTTAAGTGTGTGTTGTGTCAACAAAGAAGAAGTAGAGTTTGTTACAGTCATCTTTGTTCACTTGTTTGGGTGGTGGGGAAGAGAAGGGCTCTAACTTTTTTTGGTTTAATAAATTTGAATTGATACATGAATAATAAAGCAGTAGAATGAAACATATTTTGGATCTCCGGTTTTCCCAACTATACCCCAAACTCTCAGGTGGCAACGTCCTCCTCCTCTCTAAAAAGAAAAAAAAGAAGAAAACAAAACAAAACACCACACACACACACACACACACACACACACACACACAAGACAGGCTGAGGCAGGGACTGGCAACAATTTGAAGCCTGTTCAGCTTGGTCATATAGTTAGAGAAGCAGGTGTGCAGGGCTTGGGCAGTGGAACCTGACTGTGCCCCTTACCGGTTGCGTGAACTTCCCAGAGCTCTGCAACTTCACTGGGCATCAGTTTCCTTGTATGTCAAACTGGGGGAAATAGGATGCACAAGGCAGGCATCTAGTGACGATCAGAGATACTAGATGAAGTGTCTTGCACAGTGTCAGGCACTTAATAGGTGCTTACTAACAGATATTCTAATTACATTTTTCTCATTAATGAGTCTAAGTAAATATATTTTATTGCTTCCTACATTTACCTGCCCACTTTGAAGTTTTAGCTTAAAAAATTTTTTTTTTATTTATTTGAGAGAGAGAGAGAGAAAGAGCTGTGGGGAGATGGGGGCTGTGGGGGGGGGGGGGGGGGCAAGGGAGCGGGGGCAGAAGCTGACTCTCCTCTAAGCAGGGAGCCCATCCTGGGAATTCATCCCAGGACCCGGGCCGAGGGCAGATGCTTAACGGATTGAGCCACCAAGGCTCCCCAGATTCATACGTTTAACAGTGACTGGGTGGACTAGTCATTTGACTGCTGTTCTTCAGGGTTCTAACTTTAAATGGAGGGCTAGGAAGAGAGGAATTTTTAAATCTCCCCGCTCTGAAATTCCTTGTTTGGTCGGCTTTTGGGCTCTGCCGGTGTTTTACTGATGCCAGGGCGCCATCTAGTGGCCAAATGGAGGAAGGGGCTGATGAATGCTCTTGCTCTGCACGCTGCTAAAACCAGTCCCAAATGCATTGATAATGCCTGCAGACAGTTATCCAGAGGTCATAGGATATTGTCATCATCGTTAGTTATAATCACTTGAAACAGTTTTGAAGATTTTAAATAAACCTGCTTACCAACTGTAGGAAGCGTAGCCCCTAATGTTCATATAACGTTCCATTATTTGGAGACCTAACAGAGGCAGGTTGGATCTTCCTTGAAATGGGCCCCAGTGCAGGACCCGGAATCTGAATGCCAGGATTCAAATGCTGCCTCTGTCTCTTACTGGCTGTGTGTGCCTGGGCTAGTTTACTTTTCTAGGCAGCAATAACTGAGTAATTGCAAGGTTTAATGAGATGATCCCTATGAAGCACTTCATTTAGTGCTGGGCATATCGTAATGCTCAGTAAATGTTAGTTACGATTATTATCATTATTGTTATTACTCCAGTGTCCTATTGCTATATTTGAATAACTGTCCAGTTTTTTTTTAATCCAGATAAACACATAGTTTCTCTTAATGGTTGGTTTCGGTATATTTATTCCTGAGAGGGATTAATATACAAGAAGAAACTTCTTCCTCTTCCTCTTAGTGGAGGAAGAGAGGGGATAGACACCAAACCAACCATTAGCACATCTGGTGACAGGTGCCATCCCAGAGGTGCCAGGTATGCTAGGAACCTAGGGTTAGAAGTGCTCATCAGCCACACCAGGGGAAGACTTCTGTGTTTATGAGCCCTCTCCTTCCCATTCTTACACGATAGAGAAGCTCATTTCCTTATGCCAGTTGATGTGGTTTGAAGTAGAGTCCATAAGCCACCAGCCAAGAAGGAATTCTTGAAATGTTTCCAGTACAAAGGGGTATTTTTACTATAACCTGGGGACAGGACCTGTGGGCAGAAAGATCTGTCCCGGGATGGTGAGGAGCAATTGATCAGATACTTTGGAATTAGGGGAGGTAAAGAGAAAGGAAGTTTCCAAGAGGATTTTCGTTTGTTAAAGACTAACAGGATGCTGGAGGCCTAGCTATTGTCTACCTCAGGTTGTTTTCTCCTCTAGCAAAGCATTGAGACAATGCTTTGGGAGTTCCTGGAGGAATGTCTTACTCGGCCTATCTCAAGTATTTGTCAGTGGGCTGCAGGTTATAAGGAAGCTGAATTTTATCTACATTTCTTTCCTGCCTTTGTTTCCTACATCACCAACCACAGCACTTTTCTCCTTTAGGTTGTAGATCTTTAGCTGGAAAATAATTTGAGTTAAGTAGGAGAACAGACTTGTTTTTTCCAAGTAGAAAACTGCATCCATTTTCTCTAAATGTGTGTGTGTGAGTTACTGTTTCTACACAGAAGATTGAAAATAAGCTCTGTATTACCTGTTTGCCTGGAAGCAGCATGGCCCATGAGAATCGTGTATCTGGGCCATGGAGTAGTTTGATCTGCCTTCCAATTCTGTCTCTATCCATTGTGTGACCTTGGCCAATTATACCAGTTAGGGGTCCTGGTTGCAGGCAGCAGAACCAACTCTGGTAAATTAAACCAAAATGGCATCGATTGGAATGATGCTAGGGATCTCACAGCCCACAAGGGAAGGCCAGAGAATGAAGCCCAGAAAAGGAACAGGATCCAAGGGAGATAATGTCTCAGCAGAGTCCAGGCAAGGAAATAGGAACCATACCATTTCAAACAGAGGGAATTTAATACAAGGGATTTGTTACAGAGGAGGGTAAAAAAGAAAAGGGCAACACTGAAGAATCCAGAATATTATGGAGGAAAGAGCTCCTGCCTTTAGAAAGGTAGGAAGTGAGGTCACCAGAATCAGGTGACTTGGAAGGGGAGCCAGACTGGTATTGGGAGCCCTGAAGGGAATGCCACCCAACTAGTGTGTGCATCTGGGGACTAAGGAGCGGAGACCAGGTAGCTGTGGGGCAGATTGGTACTGGGAGTGCCATGCTGAGCCAGAAGCTCTGGGTGCTCCTGTCTCCTGTGGCTGAGGCCTTGCTGTCCCCCACCCAGAAGCCCCTTCTCCTTTTTCTGACCTCTGGTCACTCCATTCGTGCTTTGGGCCTCCTGTGTGTTGAACTGACAGCGCGAGCCAGCCACAAAGGTCCTCTGCAGACCCCGGCCCCAGCATGGGAGGGTTGGCTTGCTGCTGAGAGAAAATGGGAAATAACCAGCATATGCAGAGTTTGAGGCAATAGGAAATACGGCCAAGGGCACAGTGCGGAAATTGCTGGTTAACTTTCTGGGCTACTGCCGCCCATACACTCGGGGCCCACCATCATGAATGGGTACTGAATGAGACGGTCTCACCCAGTATGCCGTGAGTCAGTGAACCCTGCATACGTTACAGATGTGGCCATCAGGGTGCTGAGAAATTAGTACCCTGTGAATCCCTGGGGCTGTTGGCCAGGTCTGCAGTGGCCAGAGCAACCCCCTACCCCCACCCCACCCCGGCAGTCACCTCAGTTGACTGGCCAAGTCTAGATCATAGGTCTGTAACCCAGCGAACTCTGTAGCTCCGGGGAATACTCACACGATGATGGATCCACTGGAAGCAGAAGGTGGTTTAGGGGCTGACCCCTGTGCCCCCCACCCCGCCCCAAGTGAGAATGTCTACAAAAAATCACTCAACTTGTTTAGTTTCTCCATCTGTTAAATGGGGTTTACTATTCTTACCTTAACAGGCTGTTTTGAGAATTACAGGAAATGATATACAGTGGTGACTTATACATGGTATACATGGTAGGTGCTCAGTTCATCTCTTTAGTGGGGGATTGTATTATAGATCTAAACGAATTACCTGGCAAAAGTCTTTGACTGTAGTTGACAAGTATTTGTCAAGTGGAAGAAAAGGCACAAAGAATCATGCCAGCAGCCATCTGGGCACCTCTGACCTTTGAGTGTCCCCGGAATGTCTTTGTTTTGGCTTGGGAGAAGTGTAAGCCCCCAGGACTTGAATCCTTTGGGTCGAGGTTTCAGATTTTCATGAGCGATTTCCAATACTCAGAGGTTTCTTTTCAAACCCTTCTGTGGTGTGTGTGTGTGTGTGTGTGTGTGTGTGTGTGTTTACAGCTCTTCAGACTGCGGCTTTAGGACTGTGTTTCCACCTCTTACTCTCAGGAAAGGCCCGTTCCTCCTAAGACCTTGATCATACACTTGATTCATACACTTGATCATGAAGCGTTTTTCGTGTTCCCGGGTGTGTCAGGCGGAATGCATGCCTTTTGCTCACAGCTCCGTTTTCCCTTCAGGCTATCCTCTTCACGCCCCTGAAGCCTACTTTCCTTATTTCAAAAAGCATAACGTGACTGCAGTCGTGAGGCTGAACAAAAAGATTTATGAGGCGAAGCGCTTCACGGACGCGGGCTTCGAGCACTACGACCTCTTCTTCATAGACGGCAGCACGCCCAGCGACAACATTGTGCGGAGGTTCCTGAACATCTGCGAGAACACGGACGGGGCGATCGCGGTTCACTGCAAAGGTGCGTGCGGCCGGGCGGCCTCCCTGGAACGCCACGTGGCCGACGGCAGCCAGTCGTGCGAAACCAAATCAGTCAGTGTCTTTGGGAAAACAACACAAGTCTTTTTGTTTGAGAAAACTGGAACACAAACCCATTTAAATAACCCCTTTCTGAGGCAAGGTTTGCTTGGATGTGGATAATCGGTGGAGGTCTGGGTTTCCCTGGCCTTGCCTTACCCAGCGGCTGCTCGCGGACTCCAGGCAACCACCACACGCCCGTCTGTGGGCCGGCAGGAATGCCTTGACCAGGTGTCAAGAGGCAAGGGTTGTTAGTGGGTCCCCCGCCCCCCCAGAACTGCCGATCTCCTTTCTACCCTCCTCCACCCTTGTGATATATAATGCTCTCCTTTTACAACCCAGCCATCTGGACCCCCATTTTGTCCTCTACTCTGCACTTACCGGTTTTTGCATAAGGGACCAGAGCGCCTTCCCTGCCCATTGCTAGCGGATGGATGGCAGCGTCTTGCTGGCGAGCTTGCTTGCTGCAGATATGTTAACTGTTTCTTTGAGTGAACTTGGTTATGTAAAGACTGGGTTATATAAACGAATCTCTGCTCTCTAGGGGTGGGTGCTTTCTGAGGCAGGGGTCTTTCAGATGATGGGAGCCCTAAGGTTGCCAGATTCAGCAAATAAAAATACAGGATGCCTCGTTAAATTTGAATTTTTGATAAACGCACCAATACCTTTTTAGTGTGTTTCCAGTATGTCACGGAATATACATTCTGCATTTTATCTGGCAACCTCGTATTGGCTACTCAGAAAATGTGAAATAACATTTTCTCTAAGCCTGGTTGTTAGACTCTGAGGAGGATCAAATTACATTTTAGATTTTCCAGCAACGTGCAAGGGTCTTTTACTGCAGTCTTTGGAGTGACCAGAGCCATCTCTGGCCACGTGGGGATGGAGACTAGTTCCTCACACGCAGCATCTAGTCCTGCCACTGGGTGGCGCTGCTCTCACGATTTTGAGTCTGATGACGGGTTTCTGTGGAGTTTATGCTAATTGTCTAGTAGGTGTTGGGGATTGTACTGTTCTTTTCAAGTGCCTAGTGCTGCTGTAACTGACTTATTCAGACAAGCATGGCTTTGGTTCTGACAGAAATTAAAATACCATTTTGTAGGCCTTTGTTTCTATGTTTAAGATTTGAGTAGGCGGAGGTACTTGGCTGACATGTGAGCGGCACCGGGAAGCCGCGTTTCGCCTGAGACCCAGGGACATGGCGCCGAGCTGCACATGGCCGCGAGTCGGATGAGGGCTCTGTCCCTATCCGCGGAGCCGCCGCCACCCCTCCTCTTCCCGTTTCTTAGCAGGATGGGGCCCTGACGCGCAGGGCATCCGATCTCTCCGATGGGGTCCACGTGGGGAGTCTGGCTAGGAAGCTGTCTTATTTGCTCATCGGAGAGGGCTTTCAGTTCTAATCAGGTCGCGGTGGGGTGGTGGTGAGCTGGCCCGTCCTGGCTGGGGTCCATCTGCACTCTGACTTTGCCTTTCCAGCTCGTTTTGCTAAAGATGGCCCCGGGCTGAGAAAAAGCCTGCGTTTCGCACATTTCAAGTATCAGTGGACCTTGAGAGCTAGTGGGACTGTAACAGCTACCAAAGTTCCGTAGGAGATGTTCATGTGCTCTTTTTCAAAGTTTGTTTTTGTGTCACAAAATTCGTATTTTTCCTTCAATTAATTTGACCTTATTTCCTAGTCAATTGATTTTATGGTTACCAAGTCATAGAGCTTATCTGTGTGTCACATGTTGGATTGACAAATTCGTGGAAGAAGAAATGCAAGACTGTCATTACAACTCAGTATCTCTCTCTCTCTCTCTTTTTAAAGATTTTGTTTATTTATTTGACAGACAGAGATCACAAGTAAGCAGAGAGGCAGGCAGAGAGAGAGAGGAAGGGAAACAGGCTCCCTGCTAAGAAGAGAGCCCGATGCAGGGCTTGATTCCAGGACCCTGAGATCATGACCTGAGCTGAAGGCAGAGGCTTAACCCACTGAGCCACCCAGGCACCCCAGTATCTTTCTCTTTTTAACTGAAGTATAGTTGATTCACAGTCTTATATGAGTTTCAAGTATACAACACAGCGATCGGACAAGTTTATACATTATGCTTTGCTCACCACAAGCACAGCTCCCATCTGTCACCATAAAATGCTATTATAATACCATTGACTCTATTCCCTCTGCTGTGCCTTTTATTCCTGTGATTTATTCATTCCATAACTGGAGGCCTGTACCTCCCACTCCCCTTCACCCGTTTTGTCCCTCCCTTCATTCCCCTCCACTCTGGCAACCACCAGTTTGTTCTCTGTATTTATGGGTCTGTTTCTGCTTTTTCTTTCTTTTTTTTTAGATTCCGCATATAAGTGAAATTGTATGTTATTTGTCTTTCCAACATATTTCACTTAGCATAATAACCTCTAGGTCCATCCATGTTGTCACAAATGGCAAAATCTCTTTCTTTTTTATGGCTGAGTAATATTATGTTATCTATACATCTATATCTATATCTATACACACATATATATATACATACATACATATACCTATTTCTATGTATATACATATATACTTCCTTATTCATTTATCTGTCAATGGACACTTAGGTTGCTTCCATATCTTGGCTCTTGTAAATATTGTTGCAATAAACAGGGGTGCATGTATCTTTTTGAATGAATGTTTTCATTTTCTTTTGGGTATCTGCATCTCTCTTGACAGCATTTCTCACCTAACTGAAATTATAAGAATGAAACTCTATGATGTTCAAAATTCTTATTACAGGTATTCTCTGTTTTATATCTTAGATTTGTGAATGTTAACATTTAAAAAAATACAGTATGGGCATATGAGTTGTATGTGTGTGTGTATTTTATACTGTAGAGGTTTATATATTTTTATTTAAAATCAGATCTGTTAGCATTGAGGTGAGCTCTTCTGTGGGAAGGTCACATTCACATGTGGTGACATCTTTTGCATAACATTATTTCATTTGCTTCCACTTGTACACACATGTAGGACTCCTTTATAAAAATTACACCTTCAGTTTAATTACAGCTGTATTGCTTTTAATAGCATACTTATCTACTAGAGGCCTGTTAATTATTTTGACATCTGCCCTAATTAAGTCAGTTTAATTTTTTGGGAATTGAAGCATCACTGAGCATTTTAACTGAAGTACAAGGAGGAGGGAGAGAGAATCTTAACCTATGTCGCATGAACTTCTGTAGGTGCTGGAAAGGGAATGAAGATGTTGTGCCTCTACATTAGAGTGCTAGATAGAGAGACAGACTAGAAGTTGTTTGCGGGGAACGTGTGAAATCTTACTGAAGAATTGGTATCTATAGTTCACTTTCTGGTTGATAAAAGGGATGGCTATTAACTTTTTTGAAAATTTCTAGCACAAATACTAATTTTAAAAAAATGGGAACGCTGTGATGTTCTGGTATGTGATTGTTGATATTCTGTAGGATTGCAGAAAATGCCGGGAACTATAAGGGAATCAACATTTAACTTGGTATAAATAGAGTACTTTTCAATGTCTTGTCTTGCTGTGTTAGGGAGCCCTTTAATTATGAATGCTTTAAGAAATTTGTTAAAGTTTTTATAGAAACTTGGTGAAATGTTCCTATTCTGTTGAATTGTGGTAAGAGCTCCTAACTATTGAGTGCTAAGTACATTCTTTTTATAGATCTAAATTATAGACTCTTTTTAAAAGGGGGAAGCAACCTCAGTTTCAGAGAAATTTGAAAATTTTCTGCACCACCTTTTTTGGTTGTGAGTGTGTGTGACTGGGAGCCTAACCGAGGGAATGGGACAGCCCCTTCTTTGCACGGGGCAAGGAGCAGGGAACGGTACGGCTGCCTCCAGAAAGACCATTTCCTCTCCAGACACCCACCCACCTTGGTGGCTCCAAGGAGGGACACTAGAAAGTCCCTGCACGCTGGTTCCTATGCAGGTTCCTACAGCAGGCTCTCTTGCTCTGTTTTATCCACACGATTACCTATAGTCTTGTCAAATGTCTGAGACTTAAGAATTTGGCAGAGGCAGAGAGTATCTGCTTTGGACAGAATCAGAAAGACAAATTACTCTTCACTCTAATATTAAAACAAGATCCCCACTGAGACCACAAATTACTCGTTTTTAAAGAATGTTGACATTTGGTCTGGGACAAAAGGTACTTCAGATGGAAACAGGCTACACACATGCATGCACACATATGCACACACATGCACACCCCCATCTAATGAAGCATTATAAATATAATTTTTAAAAAGGCTAAATGGGAAGGGAATGTCAAGCATCTGTAAACATGAGCTTGATTGTAATTTCATTTGCATTTTTAAAATAAAGATTTTATTTTTAAGTAATCTCTATGCCTAATGTGGGGCTCGAACTCACAATCCCAACATTAAACAGTCGCATGTTCCTCCAACTGAGCCTGCCAGGTGCTGCTCATTTGGATTTTGATGTGTACTTTCAACCTGGTATTGTTGCCCCCAAAGAGGGAGAATTTTTTTTTCCCCCCCAGGGGTGGGTTGTGAGGAGGAACCATTCTTTTTCTGTGTAAAACACAGATTTACATACAGTACATAGAGATATGCAGTTACTGTGGCAGTAACATTTCATGGGAGACCATCAGGAAAAATGTCTTAAAGAGGCTCTTGGAAGAGGCAATAAGGAAAAAAAGATTGAGAAACACTGATTTAGAGACCGCTTTTTCACACTTTTAAATTTATGGAACTAGGATGCATCTGAAAATTGGTAGCATGTCATAGTTTAATTTTTTCTTACTTAGGTGGAACTGAACTAATGGTGCACTGTTAGGCAACTTGATGGTATCTTAGATTTGCTGAGACACCTGTGTATTTCCAAATACTGGAGAACTAGAGAAGATGCTCTTTATTATTTGACCAGCAAAATGGACAAAAGGGCTCCTCCTTTGGGGGGAAAGGTTCTTAAGCATATTAAAAACAAAGCTGTCTACTTTTCATTTCCTTTTCTAACTAAATGTTTTCATGGATGAAAATGACTTTGATCACTTTTCCAGGCCAGAAATATCAGTTATCTTTGATTTTCTCTGTGACCCAGTCCACATGTCTTTCTAACTAAGCCCCTCCTTTTTACCACCACTGTCAGTCCAGCCCGGTCTGTGCCCCTTCCGGCCCCTCTGTGCACCCTCCTGCCCCAGCCTCCAGCTGCTTCCCGGCTCCCCACTCTGTATTTTCCAGCATTATCCGTGTGCTGCTTCCAGATCTGTCTGCTTTTATCACAGCACTTTCTTGCCCCCAAAGATATGCAACTTTATTTTGCCCTTTCCATTGGTTAAAGGAAAAAATACTTGTTTTTTTACATGATAGCAGTTGTATGTTTATTAGCTATTGATCATATCAGGAATTCTGTAATACTTTTAAAATAGTTGAATTTTGTTCATGAAAGCATCATCTATGTATAAAGGAGTAATAATGCACATACCCAGGAGATGGGACTTAATCCGTGCTCAGAGCACAGTGGACCTGGCTTTAGGGACTCCTGATGATAACTCAGTGGTCCTTTGTGTCTTTGGCCTGTGACTGGGGACCTCTTCACCTAAACCTGGGCTCTTCCACTTGCTCAAAGGTGCTCTTTTTCCTGGTCTTTTCCACCCATCCGACCTTATTCTGCACTCTGACACACACTGACACGTTCTTCAGCCAGGCTTTCATTTTTCACACCCTTTGCTGAAAATATTCTGTGACCTTCCTATTCTTTAGAGTCTGCTAAAGTCCATGTCAGCAATGACACCTTCTTTGAAGACACCAGCAGCTCCCCCAATACCCCCTCCTTTCTCTGAGAGCCCAGTTTCAGTTCAAACTTCATTTCTTTGTTATTTTTTTCTTGCTTAATATTCTGCAACTAGTGTGATACTCATTGTAGTAAAAAACTATATCCAATACTTGCTTATATCCTTGTCCTTTGAGCAGAACCCTATCCTGGGCATCTTGAATAAGCATTTGAACGGCTGAATTTAATGTTTAAAAATAAAGAAAGAGCTACTTTCTTTTTCTTTTCTTTCCTTCTTCAAAAATTTATTTATTTGGGGGGGTGCAAGTATGAATGGGTAGAAGGACAGAAGGAGATAATCTTCAAGCAGACTCCCCCTTGATCACAGAGCCTGACGTGGGGCTCAATCCCATGACCCATGAGATGGCGACCGGAGCTGAAGCCAAAAGCCAGATGCTCAACTGTCTGAACCACCCAGGCAACCCAGAGCTACTTTATTCTTCTATAAGAAAAAGTGCAGGGACTACTGGGTGGCTCAGTTGGTTAAGTGTCTGCTTTTGGCTCAGATCATGATCCCAGAGTCCTGGGATTGAGGCCTGCATCAGGCTCATTGCTCAAGGGGGAGCCTGCTTCTCTCCCCGCCTGCTGCTCCCCTGCTTGTACTTGAGCTCCCCCTCTCTCTGACAAATAAATAAATAAAAACTAAAAAAAAAAAAAATAATAAAGGAAAGGTGTATATGATACAAACAGATTTTAAATAGTGGAAAAATAACTGCATACTGTAGAACTTACAGTACTGAATCTAACTCCAAGAAGCCAGATATGGAAAGATTTAGAAAATGTTTGTAAATGAGCATTATTGTTCAGTCCTGTATACTTCCTGAGGTAAGCATCCTGCTTATCTTCATATTTCTGTTTCCAGATCTTTTATGGTGCCTTGTACACAGTGTGTCTCAGTCAGTACCTGTAAAGTGAGTGATAGGATGTGAGCCAAGAGTGGAAGGAATTCTGGGATGAGAATCAGGACTGTGGGGGAATTTCAGTCCTGAATTCTGTACTCACTTGTTCTGAGTCAGTTGGTTGCTGTCTTTGGGCCTTCATTGTTCTGATATAGGAACAACCACCACTATCAAGAACCTGTGGCTTGATAAAGTTTTTGAGTATTTTTGCAAAAGGAGGAAGCCAGTGTGTATTTTTTTTTTTTTTAAGATCGGCTAAAATGCAAATCCGGTCCTATCACTTTTATTTCTTTGGAGAGAGGGAAGGACATACATCACTTGGTAAAAACACTTTGAAGAAATAAATCAGAGTTCACAATAACCAGTATTTCATTGAAAGTCATTTTTGGAAAGTCATTTCTAGCCGTATTACATAATCTTATGTAACAGAGAGTACATTCAACGTAAAGAACATAAGCTAACACCAAAGTTCTTAGAAAATGCAGGAACCCCGGGGAAGTGAGATTTGAGCACTTCTGTTCTGCTTTGTTCTTCCTCAGCAGACTGTGCGCTCTCCCGAGGGCAGTGACCCTCTCTCTTTTATTTGTCACTGTGCCCTCTAGCTGCTAGCATGTTTCCTGGCAGGTCTCAAGTGCTCCATCCATATCTACCGACTGAGGCAATCATGAAATCCTGGGCTCTGATGGAGTGACAGGGAAGTCAGACGACCATCTGCTAGAGGTAGTATTGAAACAGCTGTGGACTAGGGAGTCGGTGAGGCTTGATGACATCCGTGGCGTCTTCCAACTTTGATCCTGTGATTCCTTATTCTTTGATGAGTTAAAAAGAAACTAACCATTTAAACAAGCTCTAACATGGGCCATGATAATATGATCAGTTACACGGCTGACTCTGATCACACAAACTGTGAACTGCAGGTGATATTGTGCAAATGCTTGTCATGGGACCTGCATTGTCTTAACAACATCCACAATGATAGGCATTCCCAAAGGCCCCCAGGGGTTGAACTTGATCGTTTTTCAAGACCCTTGCTCTGATATGGGTATGTTCTTATATAGGCTTATTTGAATTGTATGATCTATTTTTAGAAGATTTTTTGTGTTAGAATTATCTCTTAACTCCACATCATGTAAAAAAGCATTAAATTATTGTTTGGGTTTAAAACACTTGTGTTATACTCAAAATCATTGCAGTTTGGGGGCAGGGTTTGATTTCGGTATTTTTATGAGTGCCTTTGCTATATTTTGTCTTTCTTGGTCTGTTTCCTTTTTTTTTTTTGCAGCTGGTCTTGGAAGAACAGGGACGTTGATAGCCTGTTATGTCATGAAACATTACAGGTTTACACATGCTGAAATAATTGCTTGGATCAGAATTTGCCGGCCAGGCTCCATTATAGGACCCCAGCAGCACTTCCTAGAAGAGTAAGTATATGGCCTCCATTATCATATTATGTCCACGTTCTGATCATTTCTACCTCTTGTCCTCCTGGTTGTGGACTAGGTCAAGCCTGTGCTTATAAAATGGCTGCACTGTGTGAGAAGTCTGTGCCTCTAATGGAATATTGTTGATTTGACAGCTAATGCATTCTAACTTTGTACCTTTTTTATCTCTCAGATCAGGTGAGAGAAGAAAATCACAGAGCCATCTCTGCCTACCTTTTTTCTGTCATTTTCTATGTGTGATCTGGCTACGGTGCAATTTTCTTATGTCATCCTACTTGACACTTTTCATTCTTTTCTTTTGTTTGCATGTCTAAAAGCAGAATGAAAAAAAACACAACTAAGGTCCATCAGTGATGCCGGTGACATTGCTGCTTTCCTGACAACGAACTAAACTGCTAGAGTAGCTGCAGGTTATGAGTTACCAAGGAAGAAAAAAAGAGAACTGGGTTTTAGTCCTGGCCCTGCCACTAATGGCTCTATGACCGTTATTTGGAAGAATACTTAAAAATCCATCCATCCGTTCATTCATTCACCCTCATGAACTGTTTGTCAAACCCCAGCCCCTAAAGTGGAGAGATTTAACTTGTAAGGGAACGATCCTTTCTGGTTTCCCTGTAAAATTTTAGGAATTACCACTGATTTATCCACTAATAAAGGGAGGAGATGGAGTTACCATTAGCTGAGTTAGGTCCAGCTCTAAAATGTTACTAATTATTTCTTATACAGAAATGTCATTTTTTTCCCTTTTTATGCTGTATGGCTGTATCTTGAATAGCATTCTTTTCTATATAATTAATTCTTTTCTTGTTTAAATCATTTTCTGTTGGTGAGAAACAAATGATTTGTGACTTTGACAGGAGGATGCTAGAAGTGAGCCATAAGCATCTGAAATGGTTAAAAGGATTTGAGGAATCCTGCTGAGGGATTACATTAGTTGTGTGTGGAGGGGGGGGGTGTAGATAAGAAAACAGTGCTGGAAATGTGAATTTATATCTTTACCTCGAAGAATGAAATGGAAGTGTAATGAATACACAAAAAAATACCAAGAAGCAGGATCATTAAGAAGATAGAGGTTCCTAGGGTTGGCCTATGAGATACAAATAAAGTACTTCCAGTATTTTAGAGATTTATTCTTTATCAGCTTCTCAGTCAGGGTTTCTGCTATTTTGCTTTCTGTGCGCCTAGAGCTTGGAGCCCGGTGCCGTGTACCTACCAGCCACTTGTACTGCTTGCTCGCGGAAGTTAAATAAATGGCTTTAGGATTAGGAAACAGAAACAAGACACTACTAAGCCTGGTTCTTTTAAGATGTTCCACTGTTAAAACTATTGTTGGGAAGATTGTTCCTTCATTAGGTACCTACTGAATACTCATCTTGCTCCAGGTGCGGCTCCCAGGGTGAGGAGATGTAGCTGAGAATTGTACCTCTTTCTCCCCGGGGTGTGGGATACTTCCTGCTGTGTGCCTGTGCATGTGCATCCGCCCCCCCCAACCCCATGCCTTCTCTGTGCCATATCTGAAAATACCAACGGAAGAAATTAGGTTATGAGGTAGGGCACTCTATACTGAAGAAAGGTTTTTTTTTTTTTTCTTTTTTTTTAAATTTCTTAATTACTTAAGCTAGAAAAGTCAAGGTATTTCCTTTGGTGTGAGTCCATATTACAGTTTTCTAAGTATTTTTCTGTAAGAACTGAGTTACAGGAATGACTTCCTTGCATAACTGAAGCATTAAAATCAGTCATAATTACAGTTATTAAATTAAAATCAGGCCTAAAATAAGTCATTAATGCTTAGATCAGAACCTTCCTGAAGGCAGGTTCTCTGTCTGAGGCACTGGGCCTTCCATAGCTAGTGTGGGGAAAATGCCTGCCTCATTCCCAGGCTTTCCCGGGCTTTATCAGATCACCTCCAACAAGGTGAGGGTCTAATCTGCTTTGTGCTTTGAGTGGTTCCAGAGGTACTATTGTGCTAACTGGACTGTGTATACTTCTCTTCTCCTCTCATTTTTTTCTTCCCAAGCCTGTGTCTTGATGTCCCCATAGCAGAAGACATTGCTTAGTACATACATGATGTTCATTCTTCTGACACTTGTTCCATGCACACCCTCTGTCAGGCCGTGCTCTTGGGCCTGGGGTTGCAGCAGGGAATTTGCCAGACAAGGTCCTTCGTTCCCCGGTGTAATATTTCTAATGGAAGGAGCAGACCATAAACAAGCATGTAAGTTTATATACAAGATAATTTCTGACGGTGCTATGAACAATGGAGACTAGCGGTGGGGGGAGGGGTGATTACAGAGGTCGGGAGAGCCCTTTGGTCAAGGAGGTTTCTTGAAAGAGAGCCAGAACGTCGAGAGTGAGAAGGAGCCAGGGCTGGCGGTCTGAGTTGTGTCCTGGGTAGCAGACATGCAGAGGTCCTGAGATGGGAACACGTGCAGCATTTCTGAAGCCCAGAAAGAAGGCTGGTGTGGGGAGAATATAATGAGCTGGGAGGGGGTGGTTTGAGAGGTCAGCTCGCCCAGTTTCTGCAAAGTGAACACACCCATGTAACCACTCTTCACATCAGGAAATAGAACAATTAACAGCATCCAGAAACTCCTCTTTGTGCTCCTTCCATCCACTCCCCAGTTCTTTGGCGCATCTAGCCATTATGCTTACTTCTAACACCGGAGATGAGTTTTGCCTTATTGTAACCTTGCACAAGTAGAATCAGTATGTATGTCTGGCTTCTTCTAGTCAACATTATTTTATTGTTACGTGTAAAACTAATGTGTTCATTTTCATTGCTGGATAAAATTCCATTGTTTGAATATGTAATATTTTAGTTCTTCTGTTGATGGATATTTAAGTTGTGTCCAGTTTGGGGCCCTTTCCTGTCTTTGGTCTATCTATCTTTTGGATGAATACCTGTGAGGCGTTCATTCAGTTTTATAGCGGTTATCACTAAAGACTTTTCCAAAGCAGATTGCCGCTGTGGATTCCTATCAATAGCAGGTGGAAGTTCCACCTTCTTCATGTGATTACTAAGACTTAATATGGCGGTCTTTTAAATTTAAGTCATTATACTCTGCTTGTAGTGGCAATTCGCTTTGTAGTTTTAATTTGCTGTTCTCTGTTAACTGATGTGGTTGAACTTTTCATGTATTTGTTGGCCATTTGTGTTTGCCCTCTCTTTTTTTTAAAAGATTTTATTTATTCATTTGAGACAGGAAGAGAGAGAGAGAGAGAGCATGAGTCAGGGGGAGCGTCAGAGGGAGAGGGAGAAGCGGGTTCCCCACTGAGCAAGTAGCCCGATGTAGGACTTGATCCCAGGACCCTGGGATTATGACCTCAGCTGAAGGCAGATGCTTAACCATCTGAGCCACCCAGGCGTCCCCGTGTATTCTCTTTTATGAAACACATTTTCAGATTTCTTACCTCATCTTTCTAGCGGCTGTCTTTTTCTTGTCGTTGTGTAGGAGTCTCAATATTCTGGCTAATGCACACTGTCCATCCTATGTAATGCAGATATATTCTGCTTCTCTTGGGGTTTGCTATTTTACTCCATAGTGTCTTTTGAATAGAATTTCTTGTGAGAATTTTTATGATCTACTCTCTTAGAACTTTAAAATATGCAAATACAATATTATTAACTGTAGTCATCCTGTTGCCTATTGTATTCTCAGAACTTATTTATCTTATAACTGGAACTTTGTAGCTTTGACCCTCTCCACCCATTTCTCCCACCCCCTACCTCTGGCAGTCACCAGTCTGTTATCTGTGTCTGTGAGCCTGTTTTTTGTTTTTTAGATGCCACATGTAAATAAAATCATATAGTATTTGTTTTCCCCGTGTGACTTATTTCACTTATTTCACTTAGTGTAATGCCCTCAAGTTCTATCCATGTTGTCACAAATGGCAAGATTTCCTTTGTTTTTATGGCTGAATAATATTTCGTTATATATAAACGCATTTTCTCTATCCGTTCATCCATCAGTGGATGAAGCTTAGATTGTTTCCATGTTTGGCTGTTGTAGATAATGCTGTAACGAACGTGGGGGGGGTGCAGATATCTTTTTGAGTTAGTGTTTTCATTTTCTTGGGATGAATGCACAGAAGTGCAAATGTTGGATCCTGTGGTAGTTCTATATTAAATTTTTTGAGGAACCTCCATACTGTTTTCCATAGTAGCCGCACCAATTTACATTCCCACGCACAGCACACTGGGGCTCCCTTTAAATCACTTTCCGGTTTCTAATGCCATAGATTTGTTTTATTTGCTCTTGGGCTTTGTTTTCTTCTCAGAAAATTGTTTTTCAGATACATTCATGTTCAGTATGTCAGTAGTTTGTTTCTTTTTATTACTTAGCATTCCACCTTATGAATGTATCACGATGTATTGACCCGTACAACTGTTGATGGGTATTTAGGTGATGTTTCGGTTTGGTTGTTAGGAATGAAACTGCTGTTTCTATACAGTCTTCTGTATAAGTCTTTTTGCAGACATATGTCTTCATTTCCTTTATTTAAATACCTAGGAATGAAGGTCACTGGATCATAGGGTTAGATATAGTTTAACTTCATGAAGAATGATTTTCCAAGGTGGTTAAATCATTTTACATATTACTTGTTGGAGTATGAATTGTAACTGTTCCACATCGTTGCCAACATTCTGTTGTGTAAACTTGTTTTTTGGGCAGGAGTGGAAGCCATTCTGGTTGGTGTGAAATAGTGTCTCAATTTGTATTTTCCTGATGACTAATGATGTTGAACATTTTTTTCACACATATTTGTATCTTTTGTGAGATGTTTGGCCAAGTCTTTGCCTATTTAAAATTTTTTTGTTTCTGTTGATTGTAGTGGTTCTTTACATATTTTATGTCATTATTTTATTTTATTTTTATTTTCAAAATAGTTTTTGTTTCTTTCCCAAATGTTTTTGCAGAATTTCCAGGGTATTACTTTATTTTAAAAAAAATATTTGTTGAAGTTACTATAAAACAATT